TAAACCTTGTTTTTGATTTTCTCCTGTTTGTATAGAATGATTCTTCAAATGTTTTGATAAATTAGAAGTACTGCTATCAGAACATTTATATACTTTATGACAAATATTACAAACAGCCTTTTTATTTGTTTTAAAATTAACATCTTTTGTGAAATGCAACCATGCTTGACTTGTCTTGTCTTTAATTAATTTTTGAGGTGAATTTGATTTTGATAAAATAATTTCAGTTTCTGAACCTTGATAATTATCAGTATGATTATCATCAACAATAACAACAGGTTCCATAATTTATACTAAAAAAAATTAAAAATAATAATTAGTCCAGAGCGTTAGCGAAGGACTATTTACTTTCTATGCATTGTGTCAGTTTGTCTGCCAGCTTATCATTTAAGACGATGAATATCGGCTATTTATAAATACCGTGGTACATTTTCATAAAAAAGAAACTGCTCGCAACATAGCGATAGATTTAATAAATTCTCCCTAAAATGTGTTGTATTTAATTTTATTAGACGTAATGACATATTCAATGATATTGACAATTAATTCACATGATCTTAAGCTCCAGACTTCACAATGGTGATACTGTTCCCTAGTTAAATTAAATTTTAAATCAAATTATATTAAATTGTGATAAATAAAACTTACTTAAAGTAATGATTATTAATATTAAAAAAAAATTAATTCTTTTTTTTCTTTTATTTTCTAAACGAAATAAATTGAAATAAATTTTATTTATTTATTTTAATTTAATTAAAATTTAATAAAATGAAGGAGCTAAGGAATAAACAAAAGGAAGATGAAGGGAAAATGAAGAGAAGTAAGATAACAATGAAGGGAAGATAAAGGAGAAGAATTAGACGAAGAAAGGGAAGGTGATGAAAGGAAGAATTAAATGACGAAAGGGAAGGCAACGAAAGGGAAAAATTAGATGACAAAGGGAAAGGCGAGGAAAAGAAAGAATTAGATGATGAAGGGAAAGGTGATGAAAGGGAAGATAAAAGGGAGTAATGAAAGGCAAAATGAAAAGGAGTGATGAAAGAGAGACAAAAAAGAAAATGGTAATGAAGGAGATAATCAATGAAAGAAAAAAAGGTTAATAAATTATTTTTTTTAAATCAAATTAAAAAAAAATATTTAAAAAAACTTACCAAATAATTTTTCTTTATAAAAAAAAACCCTTCCGCTTGGAATTAATTAAGTAACAACCATCCTAAAAAAAAGACAAAAATGAAACGAAGGAAAGATAAAAGGGAAGAATTAGATGACTAAGGCAAGATAAAGATGAAGGGGAAGGTGATGAAAGAGAAGGGAAAGGTGACGAAAAAGAAGGGGAAGGTGATGAAAAGGAAGGGGAAGAAGGTGACAAAAAGGAAGATGAAAAAGAGTGATAAAAGAGAAGACAAAAAGAAAAAGGCAATAAAAGAAGAAAGAAAAAAAGGTTAGTAAATTATTTTTTTAAATTAAATTAAAAAAAATTATTAAAAAAACTAACCAAATAATTTTTTTTTTTTATAAAATAAACCCTCTTGCTTCGAATTAATTAAGAAACAACCGTCCTAAAAAAAGGAAAAAAAAATGAAGAAATAAATGAAATGAAGATGAAAAGAAGATGAAAGAAAAACGAAAAGAATTAAAATGACAATAAAGGGAAAGACAAAAAAGATGAAAAGATGACAAATGAGAAGAAAGAGACAATAAATGAATAAAAAAAGAAAAAAAAAAGAATAAGATAAGTAAATTATTATTTTTATTTTAAATTAACAAAAAAAAAATATTAAAAAAGACTTACCAAATTTTTTATTTAAATAAGAGCCTTTTTGCTTAGAATTAAGAAAAACCGTCCTAAAAATATAAAAGCAAAAAAGAAGAAATAAACAAAGGAAAACAAGACGACAATGAAGAAAATAATGAAACATGATGAAGAAACAGGAAAAAATGACGAGCAAATAAGAAAAAAAAAATGATAAAACGGAAGATAAAAGAAAAGAAGAAAGGAAAGATAAGAAAAAAAAAGGTAAGTATATTATTTTATTTATTTAAATTTAAAAAAAAATTTGAATAAACTTACCAAATTTTTTTCTTTGGAATTACAACTCAACCGCCCTAAAAGAAAAAGAAAAAGATGACGGTGAGAAATTAAAATATCCTGCTTCTGTTATAAACGCTAGCCAATCCAACCTGTACCACTCACTCCCGTAATACTTTTTCTTCACAATGAAAAGAAGACAAAGGGGGAAGACAAAAAGGAAGACAAAGGGAAAAAATGAAGGAAAAAAATGAAGAAGAAAATGAAAAAGAAGACGAAGAGGAAGACAAAAAGAAAGACAAAAGGGGAAGATGAAGGGGAAAAAAACAAAAAAAATACAAAAAAGGAAAATAAAGATAAAACAAAAAGGAAAATGAAAAGAAAAATGAAGGGAAAAATAAAAGAGACAACGAAGAGAAAAACGAATAGAAGAGAAAAAACAAAAAGGCAAAGAAAAAAAAAGGAAGGAACGAAAAAAGACGAATGATAATCTTTTAATTTAAAAAAAATATATTAAAAATTATTATTTAAAATTTTTTTTAATATATTGTTAAAAATTTAAAAAAAAAAGGAAAATAAAAATTTTTAAAGATCATTATTTTTAATATAAATAAAAGTAAAGAATTTAATACAACATAATTATAAATACAATAGATCAGATTTCAGATCAGACTTAAATTCAAATTCGACAGATTCGATTCGAATTCGATCTGAATTTTATAAATCTGATTCGAATCTGACAAATCAGATTTAGTTTGAATCTGATTCAAATTCGAAGGTTCAGATCAGATCGGATTCGAATCGAATTGGATTTTTTGTGGAACTCTAATCATCAGTTAAAATGCCTTTTTTCTTGATTGATCTTTTTTGCAATTTTACTTCAAAATTTGTTTTTATTGCAGTGATTTTGAAAATATATTATGAAAAATAAAAATAAAAAAATAATCAAAGAAATAAAAAAATGATTTCGAAAAATAAATTGTAAAAAATAAAAATAAAAAAAATTAAGGATATAAGGAGATTGATTTTGAAAATAACTAAATAAGAAAAATAATGTAATAAATAAATTTAAGTAAATAAAGAATAATTTGAAAAAATTTAAAAGAGAAAAAAATTATAAATAAATTTAATTTTAAGAAAGAAGAAAAACTTCTCTATTTATAAAAAATCAATTAATAAATTAATATAGTTAATTAATTTATTATTACAAATTATAAAAAAAATTCCATTTAGTTAAAATTATACAATCATTATTAAATTATTACATTTAACATAATTTTACTAATACTCATTATACTTAAAAAAATTACACAAATATTATATAAATAATTATATTAATTAAAGCTTTGAAATAATAATTAAATCAATATTATAATTTATCTTAATTATAACAATTTCAATTATTTTATAAAATTATTCTAAAAATTATAAAAAACTATTTTTAATTATTAATAAAAAACAAATTTTTCTAAGTAACAAAAAATATTAATATATTTATTAATAAATATATTAATTTTATAAATATAATTAATTAAGTTAATTAAACATATCAAAACATTATATTTAATTAAATTATATAATCAAAATTATTTTTTTAAATCATTATTATATTTGATTAAATTTTGCAATTATTTTATTAAATTATTATGTTCAACTGAATTTTGCAAATAAATATTAAATCATTATTACAATTTAACTAAAAAATTCATAAAATTAACATTTACAAATAACTTTATTAAAAGTTAGCATATTAATTATTATATCTTAATATCTCAATATTTCTTACAGATTTGATAACTAAATTTTTATAAATTTATCATGATTTAACTTAAAATAAGGCTTTATCTAAAAAATTCTAATAATAAATTTATGAATATCTTATAATATTTGATGGTTTTTTATTGATGAAACCTTAGTAATTTAATTATCTATCCTATTTATCATCAAAATATTAATTAGCTCTGAATTACCCCTGAATTAACCCTAAAATAAACTATAATATAATAATTAATTTTTTGTAAATTTACTACAATTTAATTTAAAATAAGGCTTCACTAATAACATCTAACAATAAATTTATAAAATTGTATAATATTTAGTAGTTTTTTACTCTACTTACTATTAAAATTATCATTCTTAAATCAAATCTGAATTAATATTAAATAAACTATATTTTAATAACTAATTTTTTTGTAAATTTATTATGATATATCTCAAAATAAGATTTCATCTATAAAAATCCAATAATGAATTTATGAAAATCTTATAATATTTGGTAATTTCCTATTGACAAAGCCTTAGTAATTTAACCTATCTACCCTACTTACTATCAAAATTTTAATCAAACCTGAATAAACTACAATATAATAACTATTTTTTTTGTAAATTTATTATGATTTAACACAAAATAAGATTTTATCTATAAAAATCTTACATTAAATTTATAAAAATCTTATAAAATATGATGGACTTCTATTGATAAAGCCTTCGTAATTCACTCATCCATTCTATTTATATCAAAATTTTAATTAATCTTAATTAAATATATGCAATTTTTAAATATAAATAAATCATATATTTGTATATTTATAAAACAAAATATTTATAACAAATTTTTTACAATTACAAATTTGCTTATTGTATTTTTAGTCTAATAATATGTCTTATCATACATTTTAATAATATATATTTAATATTAACCTTTTATATGTATTATCAATAAATTTTAAAATAATTCTGAAGTAATATTAATGCATTTACAATTTTATAATAATCATGAAAACTGCAATATTAATGTCAGATTATTCTACTCATATTACAATATCAAATATTTTACCTTCTTTTTCTTATACTCCAAGTATTAAATTTATAAAATTATTAGAAAATTTTTATTCAACAATTTTAAACCAATTTATTTATACAGTATATGCTTTTTTAATCTTTCTTATATATTCTGAAAAATTTAAATAGATATCATATAATAAAAGTTTATTATTTTTTTTTTATAAGTATAGCTAAAAAAAGATATTTTATTATTATTATTCTTTTATGTTAAACATCTAAGTGTATCTATATGCTCAACCTGTTAAAAATCTACAAGTAAATATTTATTTCCCTTTCTTTATTCTATTTCTAACAAAATTTAAAACGTATCTTTAAAAAATTAAATGTATTTCTCTTCTACTTTACAAAACCCTTAAAGTTATAATGCTATCAATTTGACATTATAACAATATTATTTTAATATTAATTTAATATTATTATGATATCACTTCAATATAGGATCAATATCAATATTCATATTTTAATAATAATAATTAGATAATGATTCTATATTATTAATTTGACACCAATTTAATATGGTTATAATATAATTATAATATGGTAAATAAAATTGAATCAAATTTGATACAATATAATTATCATAATCCTTATTGTATAGTATTTTTGAATTGAAAGTTTCAACGTAGCTTGTATCTTTTTGATCATTATGTTACTTGTTATCAAGAGAATTTGTTTTACAAATTAATTTTTAATTGCTAAGAATCTTTTTCTATACTTTGAGTGATAATTTATCTTATAATTCTTTACAATGTTATTATTGTTTAAGTCTTTTTTAACTATTCTTTTCAAAACTATATTTCTACTGATTTATCTTTCTAAAAATAACTTTTAATAATTACTTCTGAATATTACTTCTAATTGTGCCTTCTAAATGTTACTTCTAATTATTACTTTTGAATATTTTTCTGATTATTACTTTCAAATATTACTTCTTTATGTTGTTAGTAATAATACTCTAAACAATTACTGTAACAATTTTTATTTGTGATCTACAAACTACTAATGATCTACTAGTTTGTGATAGTCTATTTAGATACACAATATTATATCAATTACATTTGTAATTTGTGAATCCGATG